CTGTATGACTCTATGATGCCCATTCCCATTGAAGAAGTAAAGAATGATTGTGTCATGGGACAGCACATCACTTCCTGTGATGAGTTCTACTGCTTCCCATCCTACAATAACTCGTTATACTACGTTGAAGGGGATGGGAGGGACATTAACGTCTTTGTGCACACAAACCTCAGATGGCTAATAAGCATCCCTGTTAGTTCAACAAAACCTTTCCCAAGACCTGCACCATCTCCAATGCATCTCACTGCCTTAAATGCAAATGAGAAGTGTGGGGCCGCCTTCAAGAATTAACCAAAACTTACATTGGTATACCCTTCATCAGAGTGTAATGTCCCGAGGCGCATCATCAAACAAATTTGACTCGGAGTCAACGTACAAGCATGTGACCGAACAGTCAAAAGTAAGGTGCCTTTTAAAGGAGGAAAGCGGGGCAGCGAGGTGTAGGGAGGGATTTCCAGAGCTCAGGTCTGAGCACCCCGTCGCCAATGGTAGAGCAAGAGGTTAGATTTAGAGGAGATTACAGAGATAGGGAGGGGCAGAGCCACAAGAAAGGATTGAAAATGCTGGATTTTATATTGAGTTGTTGCTGGACCGTGAGTCAATGTGTGCAGGGGCTTGGGTGAGGTTGGGAGTAGTGGGGGGAGGTGGGTCAGTGAATGGAATTTAGTACAAGCTAGGACACGGCCAGCAGAGTCAACGTAACCTCATTTATGTCAAGAGCTGAAGAGCCTTTGCAAGCAGCAGCGCCATCTCTTGACCAGGCATGGAAGCTACAAATCAACATGGCAAGGAGAGTCAGTCTCAATGGCTCAGTTTGTACACCCAGTCACTGGTTCAATTGCTCTGGAAGAGGTTTAGTGTGTTGGTATGTTTGCTGTGGTGTGTTAGCTGCTTTGACCAAAGGTGGGTTCCAGAGGGAGGTGACGAGAAGCCTCAGAGTCGGAGTCCAGGAGGCGGCAATTGACAAGGATCTCATGCACTCCATGAGGGACTCTGCAGTCATGTCAGGAGTGGTGCGTCCAGAAGTTGGGGGAGGGGTGAGGTGAAGGAAATCTGACCACATCAGGGAAAGACACAGTGATTCTTTCCTGTTTCCTGTTGTGAGTGAGCCTGTGAGGGGAGGTGTGAGTGAATGAGATTGAGAGTGACTGTGCAAATGAGTTTGAGTGAATGAGTGTTTGAGAGAACAAGTGTGAGTGACAAACAAATGAGTGGAGTGAATGAATGAGTGACTCTGTGTGAGTAAGAGTGTGTGAGAGAGAGTGTGTGAGTGAGAGTGAATGAATCAGTGTGAGCCAGTGAGAAAGTGAATAAGTGAGTGCAAGTGGGAAAGTGCAAATGAATGAGTTTGTATAGTGTGAGTGACAGTGTGAATGAATGAGTGTGTGAGTGAATGTGCAAGTGAGTGAGTGTGAGTGAACGAGTGCATGATTAAATTTTGAGTGAATGAGTGAGAGTGTGAATGAGAATGTGAATGAGAATGTGAGAGCATGAATGAATGAATGAGTGAGTGTGTGTGTTTGAGTGCGAGAGAGTGCGCGTGAGTGAGCATGTGAATGAGAGTGTGAGTAAGAATGTGAGTATGTGAGTGTGAATGAATGAATGGATGAATGATTGAGTGGGAGAGTGGATTAAGTGAGAAAATCTATGTGAGTGAGTGAGAGTGAGTGAGTGTGTGAGAGTGTGAATGAATAAGTGACAGAGTAAGTGAAAATGAGTGACAGTGTGAGTGAGAGTGTGAGTGTGAGCAAGTGAGAGACAGTGTGAATGCGAGAGTGTGAGCGAGTGAGTGAGAGTGTGAGCGAGTGAGTGAGAGTGTGAGTGGGTGAGTGAGAGTGTGAGCGGGTGAGAGACAGTGTGAGTGCGTGAGCGAGTGAGAGTGTGTGAGTGCGTGTGAGAGTGTGAGTGTGAAAGTATGAGTGAAGTTGAGAGTGAGTGAAGGTGTGAGCGTGAAACGGTGTGAGTGACAGTGTGAGTGTGAGAGTGTGAGTGAAAGTCCCCCGCGTCTATCTTGTTTGCCCTGAGGAGCTTTTCCGTTTTGATAATGGTGAAGGCAGTGATCCCACAGAGTAGTGCAACCAGAGCTATATCTGTCACATCACGGGAAGCTCAGCTATATGGAAATGGGGTCAAAGAACGGAAGAGCAATAGTGATGGGATGCTCTATAGTCAGGGGATCAGACAGGCAATTGTGCAGATGTAAACATGTCTGCAGGTTGGTGATCTCGCTGGTGCCAGGGTCAAAGGTTCTTTGAGTGGCTGCAGGAAAATGTTCCCACTGGCACAGGGTGACCAACCAGAGGGCTACAATGCTACCAATGACATGGGCAGGAAGAGGGATGTCATCCTGAAAGCAGATTTTAGGGACTTAGTCACCCTATTGTTATTCATTACAAATAAATAGATTTTAACTACAGATAAACAAGGATAAACTGCCTACATATAACTATTAGTTAAAATGCTAACCCACTTACAAACTGTATACACACATATAGACAAAAAGAAATGGATGTTATGGGCAGAGGGATAGACTGAGAAGGGATCTCAGTGAAACTTTTCTGCACGGTTTACTGATCGGAACACTGCTTCTCAATCTTCCTTCTACAGATACTTTCACTCATTTGCAGAAGGCACAGGGTGACAGGTTCATATCTATAAAAGTCTCTGCCTCAATTAAAAAGTCCCAGCTTGCAGCAACAGTTGAGGGGAGATAAACTGGCTGTCTTCAGACTTGAGAGGATTTCTTCTGCAGAGTAAAAACAGCTCCTTCCTTTTTAGTGGTTCAATGGCTTCCCTCTCCACGGTCACACGCCAAACTCTTCATGCACCCGGGAGCCAAACATATAGTTGTTGGCAGGCAGGATGCCAATGTCATTGAAAACTGGCTTCACAGACCATTCAGCTATTTGTTGCTGGTCAAATCTCCATTCATACACGTCCCTCTAATTCTAGCTCATCTGTAACTAGGTTTTCCCTACTGCTTGAAGCAACAGTGTTGTAAACAGCACTTACAATTTGTGTCAAGTAAATTCCTTCTATAGTCCTTGGCTTTTAAAATAGTCCTTTTCCCATTTCAGGTCACAATCAAACTTACAGAAAAATACAGTCTTTACGCTATGCAGGAGAAGACTCATAGCCAAAGAATGGTAGCTCAATGCAAGCTTGAAGAATAGAGCAGCCTTCAGGGCTCACTGAGCTCAGCAATTTCAGATCATAAAAGTATAGCTGCAATTATTTTTCTCAAGATAGAAGTTGGTGATAATTCCCATTTATGCCTCCTCTAGATTCATGCTTACTTGGTAGTTACCACCGCTTTAGCTTTTCAGTTATCCTTTTTGTCATTTAATCCCTCCTCCCTTCAACACAATCGCTTAGCTTCCCTTTCATTCTTTCTCTCCCTCCTTTCTATTAACTGCCTACCGGCTTCAAGACTGTTAAACCTTTGCCCAAATTTGACAAAGATGCATCGACTTGAAATGTTAGCCTTGCTTTTGTCTCCACAGATGTCACTGGACCTGCTTGGTATTTCCAGTATTTTCTGTTTTTTTTGTTCCTTGTCAGCCTCAGGGCTTCAATAAGAAATAGGAACATGAATCATCATTTCCCACACCTGCCTCCCACGATCCCCCCCACCGCTCCCCCTCAATCTGGCCCTTCCAGCCTGCTCTGCCATTCAATAAGATTATCTTCTCTCTGAACTTCACATTCCCATGCTAACTTCATAGTCCTTGATTCCTTTCTAACCCAAAACACGATGAACTCTGCCTTGAATATACTTAGCAATGATGGATCCACAATCTTCTGGGATAGAGAAAAGATTCACAGCCGTTTGGTAAAGATGTCTCTCCTGATCTCAGCCTGACAGCCTTCTTACTCAGATTCTTGTCAGGGCTGGAACACTGTTAGACTTGAATTAATATCCTAAGAACCAGGAACCACTCATTCTTAAGGACAGGGAGGAGTCGTGGTGCCTTCTCTCCCACAAGATAAAGCAGAACGTGCTGCAGAAACCTCTCCCTGGTATGGTAATGTCTCAGGAGACAGAAATGTTGCCAGACCTGTTAAATTTCTGCTTTTGTTTCAGGTCTTCAGCATCCTCCGCAGTATTCTGTCTTTGTTTGAGTGCTTCAGCTCCCTACTGCAGATCTTATTTATAACATTTCTTATAGCCTTTCCACACTTTTGCCTAAGCACCCTTTGATCTCTATGTCCTTGTTTGTAATGATCTGCCTGTACTGCTCGAAAAAAGCAGCTTTTCACTGTTCTTCGATACATGTGATTACAATAAAATAAATCAAATCAAATCTCTTCCAGCCTTGATAGTGCCAACCCTTTACAAACATGGCCACCGCGCCTTTACCTGTACTACTGCAGATAGTTATTTCCATTACCAACATGGACACCAGCGCTTTAATCTGTATGACTGTAGACATGGTCCTCCATTACCAACATGGCCACCGGGACTTTACCTCTATTCTATCAGATATAGTAGGAACTGCAGATGCTGGAGAATCTGAGATAACAAGGTGTAGAGCTGGATGAACACAGCAGGCCAAGTAGCATCATAGGATGCTGTGTTCATCCAACTCTACACCTTGTTATCTCTTTACCTCTTTTGTGTTATGCATGGTTCTCCATTACCAATATGGCCACTGAGTCCACACCTGTTTTGGAGTAGACGTCGTGCTCTATTACTAGCATGGCCATTGAGCTTTTACCTGTATTGCAGTAGACATAGTCCTCCATTACCAGTATGGCCACCATGCTTCAACCTGTATCATAGTAGATATAATCCTCCATGTCCAACATGGCTACCATTCCTTTACCTGGATCATTGTACACATGCGCTCCAGTACTAACATGGCCGTGCACGTCCCACTTTCCCCGATGTGCGCAGGCGTGGTGGGACTGCAGTTCCCGGTGTGCAGAGCGGCAGGACCGCCTTTCCTATGTGAGTGCATTACCATGGTTACAGTAGGTGGCTGGGGAGGAGAGTAAGGTGTTGTAGTAATTAGTAATGGTCAGGAGGAATGGAGAAATAGGCGAGAGTGAAATAGATATAGATAGGGAGTGAGTCAGGGCCAGGGTGGTATTGAAACAGAGTGAGAGGGAAGGTCAAGGATGTTGTGACTGTCAAGAGTCAGGGCACAGAATGGTCAATGTCTCCCTTCTAAATGGCAGAAAGTCAAGATGCTCATTGAGAGAGAGGAAAACGTCCATTTTGAAGCTGCAGCTTTGATAGGCTGAGGGAAGAGGAGAATAACAAAACAATCAGGAAGAGGGGAACAGGTTGATGAGAAGGGATAAAATGAAAGCGAATGAAGCAATGAAGATAATTACCTGGCCAAAAACAAGTTACTGCCACTACAACACACAGTTACTGGATGCTGGGGTGTGCTGTGAACATAGGGGTACAAATTACACAAGGAGTACAAAGTAGTTGTAATGCAAGAGGCCCATTGCATGGTTGGAAATTGGAGAGGGTTAAACCTCACCCAGATTTACAGAGAAGAATATGTGACTGATTGAAGTTTATGCAGATTGTGAGGAGATCAAGATAACGGAGAAGGACGTACCCATCGTTGTTGTCAGTAGAATAGAGAAGTGCGTCCTGGAGTTTGCTTTCTCGTAAACACCACTGATCCTAGAAATTCAGTGCTGAATGTGTGAATTTTCCAAATTATGCTCATCTGAACAATATAAAACTGTGCAAATGTAGATAATGTTTCAAGGCTTGTCTTGTTGAACTGTTTGAATACATGGGTGAAGTTTAGCTCAATGATATGGTGACAGCCATGGGAACAACCTGAGACAGTTAATTAAAAATTAGCATGCCACGCTGCTTAAACATGTCTTTTTTTTAAAAAAAAATTCTCTTTCTCTAGTGTACTGAGACCAATACATAAGCAAATCTTGCAAGACAGGAGGAGTCATTCAGAAGCTACCCAGGCCAGGGTTAGAACTATTGGGCTGTTCAACTGGAGACTGGCTGTATTTTATACAAAGGAAGGTCTACACTGAACTTAGAACCAAATGCTGTGAGATTGTACAATCAAATGGAGAAAGAAGTGCCGAATTTACCTGTGGAGGTACAACAATTTAATTGTGCTTTTAGTTGAACTAGTCTTTCAACTTCATGTCATTAATTCAAGGCTTGATTATTCTAATGCTTCTCTGACTCGCCTCGCATAGTGAGCTCCTCCAAAGTTCTGCATGACGTCAAATAAGCTGTGTTCATCCACCACCCTTTCCCTTGTTGATCCAAATTAGTTCCTGAGCTGGGCAACACTTCGATTTAAAATTCTCATTCTTGTTTTCAAATCTGTGATCCATGAAGGCATACTAGTTATTTTTGTTCTGGGAAAAGATTCTGAACAAGTGTAAGGTTTTGAGATTTAAAAATAGATTAGTTTCTTTGCTGAACCCATATTTCTGCTGGTTTATCGAAGCATTTGTCAGTTAGTAAACAGCTGTTTCCACACGCTGGTAACCAAAAGATTACTGCGGGCACAACTAAAAACCTTATTTTCACATTCAATTTTCCATTGATGATAGCATAAACCGAGGAAGCTCTTTGTACTTTACAGTTTGTCATCTGTTGTAAGCTGTCCATTGAGTGACTCAAAATGGGACAGGTTTTGATTTGTGCCATAAATAACCTTACAGGGTAGAAGCATGCCTTTTTGTTTTAAAAGCTGGGGACTTCACTGCTCCTGCACCCGGTTTTAAATTGAACTGTTTTAATGCAGTAGGGTGAGTGATGTACCAAGTGGGAGGAGTGTTTTAATTGAAAATTTCAAGAGATTAAAGGAACCTGTTGGGTAGGTCGAGAGATAAAGGCTTCTTGTTGCTTCTAGAGTCTAGGACTTGGGAGATGCAGGTATAGTTACTACATTTAAAAGGCATTTGGATAAGTACATGAATAGGAAAGGTTTGGAGGGATATGGACCAAATGCAGACAGTTGGGACGTTTATTTAAGGATTATGTTTGGCATGGATGAGTTGGACTGAAGTGTCTGTTTCGATGCTGTATGACTCTATGAATCTAAAATGGTGGGGTTGTGATCTCTTGTCTCGGGGGTTCCTTTTTGTTTTGAAGGGAAACATCTTTGAAGAACTTGGCGCTATTCATGGCACAGGCATTTATACGAGTCAAGTGACACATGTTTGTTTGTAGATAAAGGGGGAAAAACGTTCCTACTCCCCCACTGTTTCTTTTAAGGAGGTGTTTCTGGCTAACCTTCCCTTACTCCAAGCATCATTGTTCATGTATGAGTGCCGATGGTAGGAAAAGTGAATGTCCTTAGCAGCTTTCACCACCTCAGAATATCCCCACATACTTTTTAAAGGGTATCTGCCGTTGTATTGTAGCAGATGATGCGGTCAGTTATGCAATAAACTAGTAAGATTTAGTGTAATGAAATCAGAAAATGCTCAAAATACTCAACGCCTCTTTCACCATTAATGAAAAGAAAGGACCTTCCTTTCGAACTGAAGGAAGATAGAAATGTTTTGATCAAGTGAATGGCGAGGGGAACAACAAAAGTTTGAGATCTGGATAAGATGTAGGGCAGGAGTGATTAAACAATAGAAGTTTTCAGGGTATGCAAGGTTGTCGTAAAGAAACACAAGATTTGTCTAGGGTGACTGTGAATGGCAGAATAGTTTTTAGACAACCTTCCAGCTCCTTCTCACATTAGTGCAGTGCACTCTGAGAGGAGAGATGTAAAACGTCTCTTTCAAACAGCACCTCTGACAGTGCAACAGGCCCTCAGTACTGTATCGAAGCAGCAGCCTGGATTTTGTGCCAAAGTTGCACTGTGACATCTGAACCCATGTCAGTCTGGGAGGTGGGAATCCATAGAATCCGTTGAATCCCTATAGTGTGGAAACAGGCCATTTGGCCCAACGAGTCCATACCGACCCTCTGAAGGACATTCCACCTAATGCCCCTAACCTACACTTCCCTGAATACTACGGAGAATTTAGCATGGCCAATCCACATAACTTACACATCTTTGGACTGTGGGAGAAACCTCAGCACCTGCTGGAAACCCATGCAGGTACAGGGAGAATGTGTAAACTCCACACAGAATGCCACCAACTGATCCATATTTGGCATCTGTAGTGTATTTTGCAAAAGATTCAGCTACCAATCTGGTACTTTCTCATCATTGGTATGTGGATTCCACTTGATAATGATGCAGAGCAGGCTTCCTGGCTCTTCAGAACTCTGAAGTATCAATGGCACTGACCTAACCACAACCATACAAGAAATTGAACCCAAGATCATCTTGATCTGTGCAGCTTACTGTTCACTAGATAAACTCCCTGAACTGTCAGGGTATAACAATGCTTGTTTATTCTGAAAAGCCATTTTAGCGCAAAAGCATTCTGAACTTGTAGTGAATGGAGTTTATACTCCCCTATGACCAGGTGTTTGGTGGTGACTGTGACCAAAAGAATGGACCTCTGTGTGTGTTGAGGTTTTCTTCATATCACTGCAAGAGTATGTGGAGTTAGAACAAGTCACCTAGAATTGAGATTTGTTACTGCTGGCTGTTTTCAGCACAATAAAGCCAACTTTACTTCACAATAGAATGGAAAAGTGGCACATTATTGACGTGGAGAGTCTGACATTTCAGAACAATGAGGTACCAAGGGATCTGGATGTCCAAGTACATGAATCACAAAAAGTTGGGAAGCAGGTACAGCCAGCGATTTTAAAAAGGCAAACTGGAAAGTTGTTGTCTATTGTGGGAAGAATGGAATATAGATGTCTGGTGTTTTGTTACAGGCGTACAGGCCTTTGGTGAGACCAGATCTAATATACTTTCCACAGTTTGGTCTGCTTATTTAGGAAAGGATGTAATTGCATTAGACTCAGTACAGAGATGATTCACTGGATTGATTCCTGGGCAGAGGATGTTTCTCCTGTGAGGAAAGGTCAGATAGACTGGACCGGTGTCTGTTGGAGTTTCAGAGAATGAGAGCTGATCTCGTCGAAACATATCAGATTCTGAACAGACTTGGGTACTGATTCTAGAGACTAGAACTAGCGGCATAGTTTAAAAATAAAGTTTAAGGTGCAGAGATGAGGAGAATTTCTTTTCTCTGAGGGTTGAGAGTCCGTGGAACTCTGTGCCCTAGAGTGCAGTGGTGGCAGGATCACTGAATGCTTTAAAGGCCGAGGTAAGCAGAATCGTGATTGACAAGGGTATCAAAGGTTATCTGGGAGTAGGCGGGAAAGTGGAGTTGAGGCCACAACCATGATCTTATTGAATGACACAGCACGTTTGTGGGGCCAAATGGCCTCCTTGATCTCCTTATTTGTATGTTCAATCTAATATGCAAAAATGGTCAAATTTGGTACATTGCTTCTTTATAACAATTTGTTTAGGATTGCTTTCAATTTGCTATACTTTGACATGCTGTCTGTACCTACTCCTTCAGTTCTCTGGCTGAATCACTGTGGCTCCGAACTGCCTTCAATCTGCTCTGTGGCTTCGGCAAGGTTGTAGTTCCCAAACCCACCCTAGCTGAGGAGTTGAGATAACAAGGTGTAGAGCTGGA